TCTTCAGGGTTTTGGCACACAAAAGGCAATTACTGTAACGATCATCTGATCTTAAAATATAGGGATTAGAGTCTATTCTGTATTTCGTTTAATTCTGAAGTAAATAGAGTTATGTCTTAAGTTTCAGCATAAATGAGGGCATTCTTAGATCTTTTATTTTAAAATGTCTCAGTATTCTCTTTTCCTACGTAAAAGTAAGTACAGTTTAGTCTAGAGTGCTGAGAGTGTGCCTGCATGCCCCGTGAAAGATGCAGAGGTGAGGCTGGAAGAAGACATCTCTCCTGTGTGCTGCCTTTCCAGCTTTTGCATCTTTTGTGAGGGCATTCCTAAACACTATTTTTAAACTCCTCAGTAATTTACCAGTTAAAAATATCTCACTAATTAGAGGTGAGTGTTGTTTTCAGCAAAGTTGAGCTCCTCTATTTGTTAGCCCTGAGAAAGCTGTAGATCTCAGCTCACCTCAGTTTCCACCCATAGGCAGAAGGAGGTTAATAACCACCGGGGAGCTCGGTGAGATCCGCTAATGGAAGGCTTTTTGTAAGAATGAAGTGCTGTAATTATTGTTGCTATTATTATTTTACCTGTTCTGTATGTTTTAAGGCTTAGGGTGATACTCACACTGAAATAACGCTCCATGTCTCCTTACTGCAAAGACACTGATGACTCCAGAGGGCGATTTAAACCCCCAAAATTAGACTTTTAATTTTGAAATTACCTCAATCAGGATAGTCCTCTGGAGATTTCAGTCTTTTTCCACCACCTGTAGAGAAAATACAGCGAGGTTTAAATCATGTCTCTAAGGCTGGAGTTCATCTTGCTGAATTTTAGCAGTGCCTTGTCTAACGTGGTTTTCTAAGCTATTTCTGTTCACTAGGGAAGGAGGGGAGATGATGATGCTTCAGGAGGCAATTTCCAGACTGAGATGACCCTGAAATTCCTCTCTCCAGCTATGGTGGGAGGATTTAGGTGACACTACAGGCCTAAATTTAAGAAAACTAAAGAGAAATAATAACTCAAAGGATGAAACTCCCCCGTTCGGGGGTTCTGATATCTTTGGTTTCCTATGCCCAAGTCCTCCAGTGGGCTGATGCTGTGTCAGCACCAAGGTATAGAGATCCTTCTAGGATAGCTGCTTTTAGTGTACAGCTGGAATTTTACACTTCATTTCCCCTTTTTCTTTGTGCTGCCATTATAATGAATTAAGGGATAATAGGAATGTGGATCTTGCCACACAGTTTAGACTGAGTGCCGAGATGTGGCTCTAGGAAAAGCATAGGAGTGGCTAGCAGATGAGAAATTACTGAATTTTCTGTGTTGGAGGCTTAAAATGAGAGTTGATACGTGTAGGCTTGGATTTTTGTGCATGTGGCTTCTGATTCGATTGTCCCAAGCTGTGTAAATTAAGGGAGAATTGTGCGCTTGGAAACGACATCCCCATGATGACCTCTGCCTCTGAATTCCTAAAAATAAATAAAAAATAAAGCAGTCTTTCCCTCTCCTGTTAACATTAAATGTCAACAGCTGTATTTTGCTTCTGGTACTTATTAACTTTTTCAAGCATTTGTTGCTTTAGAAATGTATTAAAAGCTTATCACCAGGGAAATATAAGTCTTGCTGCTATCTTGGATTCTTGAAAGACACAATTTTTCTAAAATAGATAGTTAAAATTACTGGCCAGGGAACCTCTTAATTGTACATTAAATTTTGATTCTGGCATGGTAAGTTTTGGTGTCTGTTTTTCTATCTGTGGACGTCCTGTTACAATCAGTAATTATGAGGAGTGGCTCTATTTCAGGAAGAGTTGATAATTTACAGCTGTGGTTGTAGTTAATCATAGACTGGCCTAGGCTGGAAGGGACCTTAGAGATCATTTAATCCAACCTCCCTGTCACGCGCCGGGATGCCACCTCTCAACTAGATCAGGCAACACGTGGGGGCCGAACAGGAATCTTTTTTACCCCTTCAACCTCAGAGCATTTTTTCACTTATTTTCTAGCTGAAGCCTGACGTCCTTATTTCTTGGTACCATGCATTCACTTTGCATCACATTGTGGGACGATCACTTAGTTGGCTAGGGAAATATTATTTATTTCCGAATTTAATCCCTCCTGTCTCATCCTTGTAGCGCTAAAAAGGAAACAGACTTTGGTGAACAGAGGAGTTTTTAGAGGATTTTCTTCTATGTGCCTTTGCTGCAACTTTCATCTAGTCGTAGTTGTCTACAACTTATTTATTGCTTTATTTATGTTTTTTTTTCTTAAACACATGTAGGCATTTATTGTTTATTTCTTTTTTGATACATGCCGGGAATCCTAGGAGTTGTTGCAGCGCTGAGGCTGTTATCTTGGCCCTGCTGGTTATCTACTGGTGATAGGGATGGAGAACCCTGGTGTCAGAGGCCTTGCATTTCCAAACCTAATCTAGAATGGCAAGGCTGAGAAAAGCGAAAAGAGTTCTCTGCTGTGATTGCTTTGTAAACAGGCAGATTGCTTTTTTTTTTTCCCCCCAGATTGTTAAATCAGTGGCTGTTACACTGACAAATATAATTACAGTATGTAAATTATATTGAAAATATTTTTGTCTGTTTGATGTATACTAAATTTAAGCTAAGTTATAAGGTGTGCTGTTTGGAAGTGTGGAAGATACAAGAGTGGAGCTACAGATAACGAGTTTATGCTTGTATTTCCTACTGATGAAGACTTTCACACAAGTTATTTCTATGGGTAGGTGATGAGAATATCACTCTGCATGTATATACATTTATTATACATTTTTGCATGATTATACATGTAGGAGTGGTACAATTTTGACTTGAGACTATTGGTGCTTTTTATCCAAATACAATTTTACTTGTGTAGACATATCTATCTAAAATCAAATTTCGCTTCTGCTTTTTGGAGATTCTGGTAAGAAGCGAAAGAAAAAAAGACCTGAAGTAATAGTACATAGCTCCTGAAATTTTAGATAACCTTTTGAAAAAATGGTCAAATAGTCAATATTGTACTTGACCCTCGTATCTTCTGCACTCAACTGTTTATTTTGATATATCACATTATATATGTTCATGCTGAACTCTGATGATAAGACTGAAAGAAATCATGCCTCTCATGATTCAGTCGAGTTGTAACTTCTGCATGTAATTTAATCATTGGCTTTCACAAATAATTAACTGAATGTCAGCCAGCTTAGTTTTGAACTTGGTATTCTATTATTTTGTAATTGCCTCTTAAAAAGACAAAGTTTGCCTTTCAGTTATTTTCGGGACATCTTTTCCTGTCATAATCATCAGTGTTTCATGTTGTGAACAGTTTGGTCTTTAATACATTGGCATTTAACTACTCATTTATTTTTGTCAGTTCTGTTTTAAGTTTGTGATATAACATTGTTTTATGAAGCTGCTGTTTTGAAGGCAGGTCTGATCAGGAATAGTTTGTGAATTTCTTCATACCTTGTTGCAAAACTGATATTTAGTATGAATTAAGCAATATGGTCAATCTTTAATGAGGTGTGTTGCTAATCACCAAATAAGCGTTGCTTAAAATAATGAGTTGGATTATATTTGAGGGACCCAGTTTTCGAAAAAACCCAAACCCAAATACCCAAACAAAACCAAAACTGAGAAAAACCCACCCTAAAAACTTCAGCTGAAACAGGTTTTCAGAAAACTAAATTTGAAACTCTTAATTCATAATATTCTCTCTGTCTTCAACAGGCACTTAACACTCCTCAGAGAAATTAATCTCTCCTGAATAGTCTTTTAATTTTATTCTCTGTGACTTTTAAAGGCTTCTTTAGTCAGGTTGTATCTTCCTAAACGTATTATTATTTTCTATTATCCCACACAAATTGTAGCCTCTGTTTGTCATATCCATAACAAAAAAAAATCCTGCAGACACTCAGCTGCCAGAACTTTGTTGGGGTTGAAGAATTACAGCAGCCAAGCAGCTGAGCTGTGGCCCAGCCTGTTTTTCTGTTTCATACTCAGTTTTGTGGATGAAATCTTTGGGGAGTGGGAACTCCAGACACTTTCATCCACTCTGAACCAATAAACTGTGGCTGAGATGAGGCATTTGAATTAAAATGTGGATCCTTTCAGAATTACATTTTTCTGTTTTCTCTTTACTTCTACATTAATGCTTGTCTTGAATTTGACTTAGTCCTGAGCCTCTTCTCTTTTGAGCAGGCTTCCCAATCATAAGTGTTTTTCATTCCTCACAAAGAAAATAGTCCATCTTCACAAAAAATAAATAGATTTTTGTTACTCCTCAAGAGTAGATTTCAGAGTCATGTAACCTATTTTCTCTCCCTCTATCCCCTTTCACTTTGATGGCCAAAGATGCATATGGTAATCATATTGAATTAAAAGCATGTTTATAGCTTTGTTGTAAAAGCACATTATAGTTTTTTTTTCTTGATATTCTTGATCTTAAAAAAGCAACACCGGAGCACATTGCCGTTTTGAAAAATTCCCCTGTCTCTGACAGGTAAATATTGTGAAAGGAGATTTGCCTAATGTTAAACTTGGTGTCACTAGATCAGTTATATCAAAAAGTTAGTTTTATTCAGTCAACCCTTAAGTAATGTAAGCTGTCACTTGAGTTTTGTAAAATTCACCAGATAAATATCTTGTCTTGCCAAATTTAATGTCCTGTAACTTTTTTTTTGTTGTTTTAAACTGAAGGTTTTATCCTTTTAAGATTGAAAATGTGACATTGTCAGAAATGGAGATGTTTGTGTGTTAATGTAAAAGATAATACACAAGTAACTGATACATTGGTAAACATGTTTTTCTTATATATGCGTGTTCTGTGTATGCAAAGGTTAAAATGTCTCTAATATCAGACTATGTACATTAACTCAAGTTTCGTACAATTTATAGTCCTTTTAAGAGCTTCATGTAGGAGAATGCATTAATCATTAAACAAACTACTTGTACTTTTAAAGGTGCCTTTCACAGTATGCTGAGTCGTAATCCGCCGTGCTTTTCTCTCCTCCTGCAGATGGACCTCCAGTTGTAGCTCATTATGATATATCAGACACAAATTCAGACCCAGAAGTGGTAAATGTGGACAATCTGTTGGCGGCTGCAGTAGTTCAAGAGCACAATAATTCTTTAGGAAATCAAGACTCAGGCTCTACCTGGAGAACCAGAGGGCTCCTAGATGAACTGAGTGCTGATACAGGTTTGTTTAAATTCCCCTGCTCTGATGTTTCTTCCAGCATTTTGGTCAGTGTTTCTGCTTTTCTTGCTTTCAGTGTTTTTGTAGTTTTTAGAGTTTTAAAAGCTACTTGTGTGGATTTAGCAGTAAATCAATAGAGGTGCTTATTATCTTTACTGGTGATGTGGACAGCGGGATTGAGGGCACACTTGGCAAGTTGGCTGACAACACCAAGCTGTGTGGTGTGGTCAACATGCTGGAGTGCAGGGATGCCATCCAGAGGGACCTTGGCAGGCTGGAGAGGTGGGCCCAGGTCAACCTCATGAAGTTCAACAAGACCAAGGGCAAGGTCCTCCATCTGGGTCGGGCAATCCCAAGCACGAACACAGGTTGGGCAGTGAGTGGATTGAGAGCAGTCCTGCGCAGAAGGATTTGGGCGTACTGGTTGATGAAGAGCTTAACATGAGCCGTCAGTGCACACCTGCAGCCCAGAAAGCCAATCGTGTCCTGGGCTGCATGAGAAGCCGCGTGGCCAGCAGGTTGAGGGAGGTGACTCTGCCCCTCTGCTCTGCTCTGCTGAGACCCCACCTACAGTTCTGCATCCAGTTCTGGAGCCCACAGCACAGGAAGGACATGGGCCTGTTGGAACACATCCAGAGGAGGCCACAAAGAGGATCAGGGGGCTGGAGCACCGCTCCTGTGAGGACAGGCTGAGAGAGTCGGGGCTGTTCAGCCTGGAGAAGAGAAGGCTCCGGGGAGACCTCACAGTGGCCTTTGAGTCCCTGAAGGGGCTCCAGGGAAGCTGGGGAGGGGCTGTTCACAAGGGTGTGTAGTGACGGGATGAGGGGCAGTGGTTTTAAACTAGAGCAGAGTAGGCTTAGACTGGACTTTAGGAAGAAGTTCTTCACCAAGACCCTGGCCCAGGTTGCCCAGAGCAGCTGTGGCAGCCCCATCCCTGGCAGTGTCCAAGGCCAGGCTGGACCGGACTTGGAGCAACCTGGGCTGGTGGGAGGTGTCCCTGCCCACAGCAGGGGATTGGAACTAGATGACTTTCAAGGTTGCTTCCAACTCAAGCCATTCTACCATTCTATGTCTGACATTTATTCCAAAATACAACTGATAAAAATTGGCAAGGATTCCCGCAATGCATTTTTTGACACTGATTTTTTAAATTATTTTTTCTCTTTCTTTTTCTTCAATTACTGCTTGGAACTTAGTCTGAAGGTTTTTTTGGAACTTAGTCTGGTGGTAGTTTGTTTTTTTTTTTTCTTAATGAAAGTGAGCTGAGCTTGTTACTGAATGGTTGATTATGATGACTCATGCCACCAGCTAGTAAATGATCATCATCTCGTTTTAGGTATTGTAATTGCCCTTGTATATATTGTTTATGTCTATTTCTTTAAAATAAAAGCATATTCCATCTGCATTTCTAACATACCTTAGAAAATTGGACAGACCAGCAGCAGGTAAAGATGATGGGTGAAAAGGTGCTGGTAAGTGGGTGTAGCATCAAGAAACAGCAAAGGAATTTCCTTCAGGAAAGCAAGAGCAGGAATACTCTGGAAGAATTCAAAGAAGTTCATGTAGCTCCTAAAAACTGCTTGCTAAATGCCTGCAACTCTTCACTAACAACATGAAATACTACTGTGTTCTGGATGCAGAGAGCTAAAAGAATTTTTCCCATTGACTTCATCCCATAGTCTTGTATGCTGACATACTGCCTTTCCACTTATTTTTTAATACCCATGTTTAGATTTTTGGCTGCCTGAGACATAGAGTCTTGCCTGCAGCGGTGGAGCACGGCACTTTTTTTCTGTTTCATTCTGTCTTTTCCAAATGTAAGCCTGCCAAAGGGCACCTACATCAGAAGCCTCCTAGTAGCTCCGTGTTACTTTCCAGTGTCTGTAAGGCTTAGAGAAAAATGTATGTGGCTGATTTTGAGAGAGATGTTCCATTGTTATAGAGTGGACAAGTCCATATTTGAATAGCAGAATTTGTGCTGCGTTATTTTCACTATGGTGCGCAGCTGGATGTTGTTCCAGCCTTTTTTGAAGCTAGCAGGCGTTTTGCAAGCTCACTGACGGTGTTTGTAGGATGGCAGCTGACTGGTAGTTAGCTGCTTGACCCCTAACAAGCCCATTCTTTTATTAAGTGATTAAATGATTAGAATAGCAGAAATTAACTTTATGATATAGCACTAATGGATTGATATTTAAAAGGAGTGTAAGGAAATAAAAAGTAATGTTTCTCACCAAGCTTTCTTCCCCTTTCTGCTTCCAAGTGCAGTGCTGCGATGCGCTAGACATTTGTCTTCTTTCCTCCAGCTGTATCCAAGGGGACTTGATAGAAAGAGGTTGCCAGGTGTTGTGGTTTGAGCCAGCTGCCCGAGCCAACAACAAAGAACCACATGGCCACTCATTCACTCCACACCGCAACAGGGAGTGGGGAGGGGTAAAATTCAACAAAAAGGCTCAAGGATTGAGGTTAGGATGGGGGGGGTTGTTCACCACTTCAGTCACGGGCAAAATCCAGAGTAGACTTGAGGAGAGGAGATAAATTTCGTTTGCCACCACCAGTTATCAACTAAAACAGTAGGACAGTGAGAGAAAAATACATAAATAAATACAACTTGATCTTAATTAAATGCCTCCTGACCCTTGCCTTCTTCCCAGCTACCTCCTCCACCCCATTCACTCCCTTTAGCTCACTGGCAATCCTCTCCTGCCATCTCATTCACTACAGGGCTCTGGGAAAACACTCTGCTCCAGCGCTTTTCACCCTTTCCTCACCAACCAAAGCGTTCATTCACTTTCCTCTCTCCTTCCCCTCCTCCCAGCAGAAAACGTGGCCGACATGAAAGACAGGACACAGAAGCAAAGAGAGACAGAGTGAGGAGTGACCCAACAGGTTTCCCCTCTTAAATCTGATCGCAGAGGTGCTGATGGGCCGTGGCCAGAGGCAGGTCCCACTTTTACCTGGGGGAGACTCTGGAGGTTTTGCAAGGAGCCACCCCCACAGCCCCACCACTACCAAAAACCTTCTGACTGTGAATTTGTCAGTATTGGTCTTTTCTTACTGTGTCTGGGATTGCATGTTTGAAGGCAGAATTTTCAAATCTTATATCTTGAAGTGGGCCTTGCAGAATTGCTTAATGGTTGGACTTAGTGATCTTAAAGATCTTTTCCAAGCAAAACGATTCTGTGATTCTATGATCTTGTTCCCAAATTAATCGTAAGCCAGTATCTAGTTTAACAGACATGAAATGACGTGTTCCCGTGGGTAAATTAACAGCATAAGCTGTTATCTAAGTGAGAAATCGTATTAGGACACTCTATCATACCTGTGCAAGGGCAAATATTTTGGGCTGTTTTGCAAGCCCTGATGTTGTAGGGCAAACAGAACATCTCCTCTGGGCGTCATCCTGGTGTTTGTGCGAAGAAGTTTACAGCGTAGGCATGTTATTGGGCATGAAATTTGTATGGCCCGAGGCTGCAAATCTCTCGTTATGCTCTAATCCTGATTTACACTCAGCTACTGTTGCAATATTTACCGTGCTAATCATGGTTTCTCTACTGCTGATTACCTTATTGTTGTCTGAACTTCAAGCTATGGTAACACACGGCTGTCTTGGGGCTCCCGTTTATACATTTGGGGGTTCATTTGGGGGCTGTTTAAGAGCCGGTGTGCTTTGCCCCTCTGCCAGGCATTACGCTATCTAGCAAAGGGTGCACGTTATTGTACCTGGGGCAGGCTGATGCCCGCTCCAGTTTGCTGACCAGGGATCACGTTGCTGTTGTGCAGCCTGTGCTGTAGCAGCAGTGACGTTCAGGATCGGGGTGATGCGAACCACTGGGGCAGTGACTGTGTAAAGCTCCTGGTTTTGCAGCACCAGCATGTGAATCAAAGCCTGTGAGCGCTACTGAGTCACGTTTCACACTGTCCCCAGCCACTTCTGTTAAAAAAGTGTCTGTGATCCATTTAGGGGCTTTCTGACAGTATTTGCCAAAAAGTGTTCAGCTGAACTGTAATGTTAGGGAAAACCAGCCTGGGCTATCAATTTGTTTTAAGTTCTGCTGTGAAATCTTTTTCGTTTTTTTGTTTTGTGTGGTGGAAACTCCTCTTTTCAAGTACAGTGCAGCACTGATCAAATGTTGCATCAAGGGTGTTCGCTTTCCAAAAACTGAACGTACAGTATGGTCTGTGCCCCTCTATTTGCTTAGATCTTTTCCAAGTACCTACAGCAGTCATTGAAGGGTTTCCCTGGTACTTGTTTCAAGTTTAATTTCTTCCCTCTGTGTCCTCCTGGTCTACCTGGGCGTGTAATCAGTTCTGCATGTTCACACACCTTTGAAACTTCCCTTAGTGCCTGTGATGTTTCTATCCACCCTGTAGGCTTTGTTTTCCACAGTGTCATTGTGTTTAATGTTTTGACAATAGATGATCTTGTTTCTTTATTTCGGAGAGTTTCAGACACAGTCTAACTTCTAGCATTGTCATAAAATAACATCTGGAAAGCCTAATTATATCAAGTGTTGCTGTTGCAGTAGTTGGGCTTTGTTCACATCTATGTGGTAACACCATTACTAGACATACCGAGACTGGATGAATCCAGTGGTCAGCCTTTACCAGGTGATAAACTGAAAGTCGGGTAGTTTGATCTAATAAGATTTTCTAATCTCAGTGTTTCAGTGTCCTTTTTTTTTTTTTGTTAGCTTGAGAAATACCTTTTCCAGCTGATTGCCGAGTTGTGTAAACTGTTAAACATTGGCATTTGCATTTTCTCTGTCTGTAGGTCATCTGGATCCAGGCTTCCTTACAAGTGACAAAACCTCTTCTGGCAATGCCCAGATCAATGAAGAAATTAATATTGCCTCTTCTGATAGCGAAGTAGAGATTGTTGGAGTTCAAGAACATGCCAGGTACGGATTCCTTTTTCTTGGTTTTATATTCCTTTAATTTTATCAGAATATCTGTATTCCCAAAATTAATAAAGAAGAAAACTGCTCACTTCTGTTTCTGTGTTTATCCATCCATGATGCCCAAAAGGTAACAGATGTTGCACTTGTTTTTTCTATTCTGCCGTTAGAATGTTATCAACTTAATTAGTATTCAGATTAAGCTTGTGATTTGATATCAAACATTAACAGGCTAAACATACATAGTATTAAAATCTCAAATCTCTATGTATCAGGAATTCAGTTTTTAAGGGCGTAGTGTGACTGTGCAAATACATCAGGAAAAATATTTATGTGGGTTCTTGTTTCCTTTCAAAATACTTACTTTAAGCATTTAGTCAGCTTCCAGTTCATTTAATAAATCAGTAGCTGTAAAAATGCTATTAACTTTTCAATGGCTGATGCAGCAAGATAGCCCCCTTAGGTTAAAAATTAGATCCTTATGAATCTCGGTTTTATTCCAAGATACAAGAAAGTTCAAACCCCTGAAGTGTAGATGAGGGTAGGGAAGCCAGAGGTTTCTCTCAAGCTCAGCAAGAAAGCTGTCCAGCTGAGCTCCAGCTGTTACTTTGATAGGCATCTTTTGATGTTACTCTTCCTCTTTAGTCTGTGATCTGTCCTTGTCTGAAGTATTATGAAGCAGTTGAACAAGACGGGCATTTTCATACAGTTTGGAGATTAATTTAGGAACTAAAAGTAAGTTAAAGCAACATACAGACGAGCTCTTTCTAAAAGCTGCCTGGGGGATGTGTGGAGGTGGAAAAGCGGTGCGAGGGACAAGGAGCAGAGCTGTTCCTCTTTGTCCCTTCACTGCATCTTTCTTGAGGGAAGGAAGAAGGAAGGTGTGCAGGGCCCTATGTCACAGGCAGGAAAGTGTTCAGATACTGAGGGCACAGTCAGGCGCTTTTGCATAAGAAAAATTTTAAGATGCTGAGGGTAGATTTAGTTTTTACTTTGAGAATAGTGAAAGTCCTCGCCGGGGCTCTTTTGGAAGATTGCTACTTCCCAAGGAATTGTCATCCCGGTTGTTTATCCACCAGACGCAGAGACTGGGGGATCTTTGTCCTAATGATAAGCAGTGTGGCCTTGTCCTCCAGGACTGGTTTGTGTAGATCTGTCCAGCGCTGTGTACACACAACCCTTCTGCTTGAGGGCCCCTGTTCAGAAGCTTACCTCAATAACATTTACCATATACAAGCACAGAAATGCTAAGTAAATACAGAGTTGCTGTTTAAAGTCAGTTTTAGTAGATATGCACTGAAATAATTTCAGCAAAGAAAGACTCAGAGCGTACTTTGTGTTTTCCTGTGTTAATATAAACATCTACCATCTGGCAAAGACTAGTTCTTACCAGCTCCATTGAATACTCACACGTTTCAGTTGTTCAAATCCTATTTAGAATTTTATTTCTCTTGCAGGTCTAGGCTTGCAGTTATGAAGTATTGATGGGCTTCTGACAGGGTTGTCGTTTGGAAAAGGTTTAGGTTTTTGCTCAGTATTTTTTGCATGCTTAGTTAGTATGGTGTTTGGATGCGGTTTTTTTGCTCACACTGGTTTTTTTATCATGCTCCATATTCCATGTTGTGGTTGGACTGGTGTGAGTTGTGACACTCCAAAGTTTGTCCGTGATTTGTAATTTTTCAGATTGTAGGTATATTGGCAGTGTTTCTCATCACTGGAATATTGCTCAGCATCTGCTTAGGACACCAAGTCATGTTTTTCAGTTTGTTTTATTTTTCTCCATTGATTATTTTTTTTAATCATGCATGTGTATAAAACAATCTTCCTCTGTGTTTTCCTAGGCTTTTTTTCCACCTCCTGTTTTGTTTCCCTTTACTTGGTATCTTCCCTGAGCTACAGATTGGAAAGCATGTTCCCAAAGCTAATGTTGAACGTTTTGTTATTGGCTGCTTGTGTGACTTGTTTGGGGATAAACACTTTCATTTTTGCAAGATATCATTTCTGTGAGATAATTTACAGCTTGCTTTTTCTCATCTTCAGGGAGAAAAGTTAGTATTAGCTTTGCCTAAACACTGAGGAATGTTCTGTATCAGAAGATGGACCATAGTCCCTGAGACCAAACATAGTGTTTAGTTTGCTTTGGCTACAAACTTTTCATGTCAGTTATGCTTAAAAATATTTATTCTTAAAAGAAAGCTTTCTAAAAAAAAGAAATCCCCTGCATTTGTTAGAGTTGCAGTCTCTTATTACTAGTTCTTTGCAGACCTGTGTTTTAAGTATGCATCTTTAAGACTGAAGAAGTAATAAAAAAGTCAGTCTGAACATTACATCCAAAACGAAATAGCGTATCTGAGGAGGAAATGAGACATTTATATTCAGAGAAGTTAGAGCCTGGAGGATGAGATTTTTCATTCTATTTCAGGACATTCTAACCAGAGCCAAGAGAGAGATGAGCATAACCTAAGTAGTTCTGAAGAAAATAAATTGCACTACTTTAAAATAAAACAAATAAAATGTAAATGTCAGGGATATTTGACCAGCGCAGAAAACCTGGGTTCCTGGAATACAGTACATGTGCCTTCACAAAGAAATGGGAAAAGGTTATCCCAGCAGCCAAACATCCCTTGATTCTGTATGCAGCTAGGAGCAGCTACAGGCACCACCAGCAAAATAATTTCTGGGGCACTAGGTGTAAAGTTTTACTAGTGCTTGCTTAAGATTTACAGCTGGAAATGGAGAGCTCATCCTAAAGACTCCCTAAAATTCTTGTCGCGGCTTCATCATACAACAAAATTAGTCTATCTTTAATTTAGTTATTTTTTTCCCCTAATTATTATTATTATTAACTTGTACTTCCATTGTCACATATCTGTTAGGAATACAATAGGTAAAAATACTGTGCAAATAAGTAGATATGTACCTCACTTCAGGTAGGCACTTGAGCGCGTGCTTATCCTTAGATGCAGGACTTAGTCTCATTGACTGTAATCACTGAAAGCTTAAATGTTTTGCTGAAGTGGGGCTGCGTGTTATTAGTGAGCATCTCCCAGCATGTTTGTGATTTTTAGTTGAGACCACCAAAGAAAAATCAAATATAATGGCTATAATAATGTAATTACATGATCTCTCTTGTAATTATTGTAACAAAAGTATCATTATGTCCTTATTTTAACATGGTTTTGGTTTCATATAGAAGGATAGCTTTTCTCTTTGTCTCATTAAACTCCACTTAAACTTTCTCTTTTTAAAAGTCCAGAGGGTACAACTGCTAGCAGGAGATTATGCTTCTGAATAATGCATGGCACTACACATGACGGGGCAGACTTCCTCAAGATCCTTGGGATCCATGCACGCATTTTGTAAGGAATATCACTTTACACCCACTGGCAGAACCCAGTTCTTAGAAATAGTTGAGTCCTCGTCACCACCCTGAGTTTAAGTTTAGCCTCAGCTTTGTTACCAGGTATTTATGATGTCACAGACTCTACAGATGGAAAATCTACAGGGACGTTTTGGAGAGGGACATGTTATCAGTGGTAAAACACTGCAGCTAGGAATCTCATGTCTGAATTCAATAGTAGGTTTAACCCTTTGTGTCTGTTTGGTGTTTTGTTTTGTTTTTTTGCCTTGCTGCAGGTGTGTGCATCCCAGGGGAGGCGTGATTCAGAGCGTGTCTTCCTGGAAGCATGGCTCCGGCTCCCAGTACATTAACACTCAGCAAACACAGTCATGGACAGCTGTGACACCCCAGCAGAACTGGTCTTCGCCCCCAGAAGTAGTGGACCTCACTTTGGATGAGGATACCAGACGCAAATATCTACTGTAAAGCAGCATCACTGTGTTTCTGTCCCCACCCCTTCCCCCTTTTGTGGCACAGAAGTTTGTTATTAAAGCTTCAGCTTCAGAAGCCCTGTTCCTGGCATTACAAAATTTGAACTCATGACATTTTTAATTTACATAAGAATGTAGTATTATTTCAGTATAATTTAAAATAGTTTTGCCTTCTCAAAGGAGGATTCCTCCTGGAATTAAAAGCCAACAGCTCCAAATTGAAAACACGTTTTACAGTTACTAACTTGTGTGTGTGTGTGTTACTCTGAAGAAATAAGTTGTGTGCAAACTTATGTCCACCCACCCTTTCCCACCTCCAACTTCAGAACATTTTTAACTTATCAGTATCTTGAGTTTGTTAGTAAAAGTTAGTGTTTTGCTGTGTGAACATCGGTGATTTTGAGAAATGCTGTGTCTTCACTGATTTCAGTGGAACTGGGGTTATTCAACATTTCCGAAAACTGGGCCAGGAGTATTTATACCCAAGCTGATTTGGTTATGTTACCAGCAGGAGGGACTGTCTCTAATACAGCCAGCCCATAACATATGCACTGAACAGCTTTTAATTAAAGGCTTTTTATTTTAAATATAATTTATAGTTTACACTCTTTTCAGTGCTGAGTCTTTTGTCTACTTGACTACTATTTCACTGATCATTTCCCACAGCTTAAAATAGTAATAGTATTGGTTTAGTAGCAGCTGATTATTGCAGAAGCACGAGAAAAAGTAACAAAAAGGCCCTGTATCGCTGCTCTTTTTAAATCTAGCTCAGCTTTTTTGCCTGTATCTGAGTCTTGCCTGGAGTAGGAGAAGGAGGGAAAGGAAACATTTTGAACCATAGATCAGGGGGCCGGTTAGCTCGGTCAGTTGAGCGTAGCGCTGACAACGCTAAGGTCGCAGGTTCAATTCCCGCTCGGTCCCCATGTGTTGCCTGATCTAGTCAAGAGGTGCCGTCCCTGCCCATGGCAGGGAGGTTGGATTAAATGATCTCTGAGGTCCCTGCCAGCTTAGGCCGTTCTATGATTCTGTGAGTACTGGGTTGGAAGGGACATCAAGGATCATCGAGCCCAACCCTTTAAGGTAAAAAAAATACAGTTTAAATGAGATGGCCCAGCACCCTGTCAGGCTGAGCCTTACGACTCTCTAAGGTTGGGGAATCCACTGCTTCTCTTGAAAGACTATTTTTGTTAGCAATTAAGACATTTTTCAGGAAACACTGTGCTCATAGTTGCTTTGTTTGCTTCATCGGCCATCTCAAAAAAAACCCCAAACCCACCAAAACCTGAAACACCTTGCAAAACCCCGCTCTGGCAAAGCGCTTTAGCAGCTGCTCAGTGTTCACCTTAGACAGTTCACTAAAACTTGTGGGGCCATTCAAGTGCTTAAAACTGTGTGCTAGAAGATGTTTCAGGATCAGGGCTTAAGGTTGTGATTTTTCCTTTTTTTCTTTTTTTTTAATTGTCAAACTACTTCTGCACCATTTTCCTCTCTTTAGATGATGTCTCTTATCCTAGTTTCGTAATTGTTTTTAGGTTATGATCAAGGAAACACATTCTACCACAATATTTACTGAAAACAGTGGAACTACTTACTGCAGTGGGTTTTAGTTTCTGTAGTGTGCATGGAAATTCCTGCCCCTCATTTGTCATTTTGAGCCTTCCCCAAGGCAGAAACCAAAGATTAGACTTCAACAAGATGATATTCACTTTAAATGTCTATTGTGCAATTAAAATATTCCTTTGTATTCAGAATGTTTCTAGTGGGAATTTTGTACAGGTCTATCATCGGGGGTTTTTTTTCCATTTAATGCCGAATAGGGGGTAGTAAGGACAGAGGAAGTTCTGTTTTCTTCTTGTGTTGGCTGATTTTTACATTTATGTGGTCTCTGATAATGTTATCTGTGGGCAAAAATAATAAATAAATTTACCTATGTTTTCACGTAAGTTAAATGAATGAAAAAAACTAACCAGCAATGGTGGTTTAATTAGTAAGAAATTTTTTTTTTTTTTAATAAGCAGAACAGTTGTGACTGCACTTTAAAGAACAGCTAGGTAAGAGACTGATATTCCACTTCCAGGCTTTCTAAAACATTGAACATAAGTGTATTGCATGGCCAGAAAATTGTACGTGGTGCTTCTAGTGACCGATTTCTTTCTCTGGGGGCGGGAGGGAGGGAGGGAGCAGCGCGGGGACAGAGCCCCCTCGCACTGCGGCAGGGAAAAGCCCCGTTCTGCCGGGGGGCACCGCATCAGTAGTGGCTGTCACTCTTTTCTCCTCGTATTCTAATCGTGCAACTTGGCTGCCGTTTCAGTGGGCTAGCACACGTGCTGTAAAGGTAACTTCGGAGCAGTGGTTTAGTGTGGCTGCTTTTTTTTCTCCTGTTTCACAAAGGCTTTTGAAGATCAGTTTTGAAGAAAGCTGCAGGGACCCATCTGTAGTCCTTCCATGAAAAATGCAAACTAACTCTCTTGTTTTTCAGTTTGTATATGTGACTTCCATGTATATATAAAAATGACTGCGTCCTAACCAAACTTCCTCCAATTGTGCACTGTGTTCGTTTAAAACAATTCACGTATTGTAGTTTGATGCAGGTTCTCTTTTATTTAAAACACTACATATTTTCTCTTAACAAATTTGAAAGGGTAGCGAGCTGAAAACCACAATCACTGGATAGCTAGGCACCGTTTTGTTTATATTTTTTGTTTGTTTTTCATTTGTTGGTTGTTTTTTTTTACTTAAATAAAATGAGCAAAAGGTGCCTGGATGGTTTTGCTCTTCTCATTACGAAAGAGAAATGTTAGCCGTTGTATGGCTAAGAACCAATGCACTTGGGGCCTGATCCAGAACCCACTGGAGCCGATGCGGGGCTTTCCATCAACTTCAGTGTGCATTGGCTCAAGCCCTTTCTGTTTAGCAGTTCCCGAATTGCTGGAGTGTGAACTTGTAATCTTCTGTAGTGAAGACAAATCATTGCTTAGAATATAAATGTCTAAAACTTGCAACTCTAGTTAAAAACAGTTGATTCTTCTCGACACTCACTATTTAGTTCTCATTTTCCATCTAGTATTTAATGGTCTTTGGAGAAAAAAATAATAATAAAACAGAGTGTTATATATATATAAAAATATATATATTTTTGGTGCAAGATAAGACCTTCTGTTTTTTGAAACAAGTCTGTAGCATAAAGGTTAAACTATTTTAAGACAAAATAAAATAGAGTGTATTATTTAAACAATCACGACTTGTGTGGGATTTTCTTTTTCCCCCTGGTACTTCTCCAGCTACATCGCCTTGTCTCATCCTCCGGGCTGTTTTCTCCTGGTCAGGGAGAACATTTGAGTAAGAGACCAGTGTTAGCTCGGATTTTTTTCACGCAGCCAGATAGTGCTGACAAGCTCAGACCTCCTGCCGTTTGAAATGGCTGCGTAGACCAACTGTGAAGCTCTGGGCACGTCCTTGAGAGAGACCATGAGAGGTGGTGCCAGGCTGAACAGCGTTTGGAGAACCACTGAATTATACCGGGGAATTTACAGCCACAAGGGGAGAGAAGGACAGTAAGTAAAATTGCACTGTGCTAAACTTGGGGTCCTGCTGCCTGCCAGTCTTCTTGTAGTGAGTGTGGATGTAGGAATAATAATAATCAGAATATCATAATAAATATCATACCATTACATTTCCAGCTAGATAGAGGAGTTTGCTTTATTTCTGATGTTTTCATCACATGAGAAAACTCTCGTTGACGCAAATAAGGAGAGACATCCATCCATGTGTTTTAAATGTCAAGACGGGTAACGAGAGTGAAGTGAGCTGGTTTTTCAGCCCCACTGAGTTCTTGGCTTGTGTGAAGGTTGAACATAAAAATTTGGGGTCTGGCTGCGGAGGTGGACACCAGACTTGGAGTTTATTCACGTGTATTTCCAGCCGAGGGAGAACAGTGCTGTGAAGTTCCCTGCAGTTGTGGAAAGATAAGTATCTCCTGAATATTTTTTTCCTCCATCACCAAGATACCCAGAGTCTTCAGACTTCAGAATACACTGAATGGAAAGCTTAAAATTTCTCCTGTGGCACTCAGCAAATCCCTCGTGGCTCAGGACACTTTTCTGTTATGTGGGAGCCACTTGACTACAAAGCCAAGTTGTCATTTTTGAGTTGTCGTTTCTGGGGCAATATGAGAACTGACAAAAACTACCCAAAAAGGTTAGATTTTCTGTTGCTTTCCCCAGTGAAATCATTGCAGTGCACATCAATTTTGTGACTGAGAATTCAGTTTGTCTACCTTAAAATGGGTTTTACCAAGTGGATTAGTTCCCCATTTCCCTGCAGAATCTCTAAGTGGTGTCTTCTGCTGTGTGTATCACCTCTGTTTGTTGAAATTCTGCTTCATTTTCCCTCTCCTGTTTAGGGTTGTCATCTGAGAATGTCAGCTGCTGTGTCTTTCTCTCCAGAGCATCGCAGCGATGGAGTTTCCCATCTGTCTGCAAACAAAAGGAGCAGCAGGCCTGCAAAACGCAGATTTGTGACAGACAAACCCTGCACTTACTTTTGTCTTTGGTGAAAAGAAAGGTGAAAGCCCTCCTTTCATTGGAACTAAATAGCGACGGAGGGTCCAGCCCCACCCACATCTATAGCTGGATTGGAGGGAGCTTGTGAAAGTTGAAGAGCAGTCCTGGGACCCCTTATGACTACTGATTCGTAAATGCCCCTTGGAAGTTTTTCTTTTGGAGCTATTTAGTCATCTGGATTTGCAATTCAGTTTAAAATTAGAATTGAGTGCCAGCTACTGGGAAGGAAGGATCTTTCAGGCAGTAAATTCTGGGGCAAAGCTGAAGTTGGTAGGGGAAAACTGAAAGTTTAATTTCAGATGATTTTCTGCATTTAGTAGCTGCATCAGTGGCTTTGGGTGGATCCAGGGCAACTACATCAAAGCTGGAAAAAGAAACAGGTAAGAGTCCCCTGTCAAATTAATTTTTCATTGCTGTAGGTGACACGAATGCAGAACTCCTGGAGCCGGGCTGGTGCCTTTTGCAGGGGGAGTTCCTATGCGGAGTTCCCATTTGGTCTCTGACCAGATGCCATCTTTTACAGCTCAGGATCACATTTGCTTTGCAACGTTGGCAGCTTTTGCCTGGCATATGATCACTGACACCCAAATCTTTCCCATCTCCTTTCTGCCACGTCCTTTTATTCCTACCTTAAATGCGACACTACTGGAC